AAGTCACACTTTCATTTTATTTCCATGCTCTCACTGCCACATTAAGACCCTGCTATCACGCCACACCATCTCCAAGCTCTAACTACCAAACCATCTCCCTACTCTCACTCCTCACCATCTCCCTGCTCTCACTGCCTCAGCGTCTCCCTGATGTCACTCACAGCCATACCGTCTCCCTTGTGTCACTGCCACACCATCTCTTAACTCTCACTGCCACAACATCTTCATGCTGTCACTGCGACACCAGCACCCTGTTTTCACTCACTGCCACACAGTCTTTCTGCTCTCACACCATCTTCCTCTTCTCACTGCCAAACAATCTTTCTACTCTCACTGCCTCGCCATCTCCCTACTCTCACTGCCTCACCATCTCTCTACTATCAGTGACACACCAACACCCTGCTCTCTCAGCCACACTGCTTCACTGCTGTCACTGCCCAACATGTCCTTGCTTTCACTGCCAACTTGTCCCTGCTTTTTTTGCCACACTATCTCTCCACTGACAGTGAAAAGTTAAACATGAAGCATTTTAGAACAATTTAAAAAGTACCTGTGACTTATCTGTCACTTAGTATTTTTTAAGCTATACTATGAAACTGAAAAAAGATGAAACAAATAGAAACATTTCTGGACATGAAACATAATTTCAAAATGCAATGTCTAAAGAAAGCTCAATGTCATCATTTACTTCTAGTTTACAACACACAATGAAAACTGAGAATTTATAAAACAAATAGTGTAAATAAGTATGACATTAAATATCTTACAATAAACCTAAATTGAAAAAACTCATGCTAATCAGTCACTTATAGTAGTTTAAACTATACTACAAGAAAGAAAGAAATAATGAGAAGTTTGTACTCCATGAAAAATGATTTTATCTCTGAACTCAAAAGATTTTGATCAGTCATTTCTAGCATAAACTTGATGAAAGAAGAGAACTGAGAACTTATGATTAATCACTTGTGGTATTTCAATCAATACAATGAAATCGAAAAAAAGGGACATATAGTGAGATCTTGAATAATAATCATTTCAGAATCTCACCTCATTTAATAAGAACTCAATCTGATCAGTCACTTCCGGTATTTAAAACTAAATTATAAAATGATAGAAGAAATAGTGAGTCTGTAAAACAAAAAATTTGTGGAACTAAACTCAAATGATTAAAACTCGGTCTGATTTTGAACTATGCTATAAAACTAACGAAAAATCAATAGTGAGAGCCTATCATTTCTGAATTAACCTTGAATGATAAGAACTGAGTCTGATCAGTCACTTTTGGTATTTAATAAACTACTTCACTAAGTAAAGAAACTTACAATGGCATATAAATAGTTCATGAACCATCATTTAAAACAAGTTAAAATTGAAATAACTCGGTGTAATCTGTTACATCTGGTAATAAATACTATTTTATAAGATTTTTAAAAAAAGAAGCAAATAGTAAAAACTTAGAACCTAAAACGCTTTAAATCCACCCTCAAACTTAGTCTGATAGGTCCTTTTAGGTAAAACTTCTATGTAACTGAGAAAAGGAACCAATGAAAGACATGACAGTTAATTTTAAACACCACGTAAATGATATAAACGAAGTCTGACCCACTCCTGACAAATTTTACTGAGAAAGTGGAAAAAAGTAACATATTCTACGAAATTAGTACGAGAAACATTATAAAATCAAATGTATATAAAAAGTAAAACTGACAGGTGAATTCTGGTAAAACTATACTATGAAACTGTTAAACAACAAAATAGTTGTTAGTAGTGCATAAAACATTTTAAAACCAATTTCAAATGATCAGAACTTAATTTGATGAGTCACTTCTAGTTTTTGAAATGATACTATGAAACTGAAAACTTGAACAAATAGTGATGACTAAGAACATAATTAGAATTAACCTCAAATAATAAAAAGTCAGTCTTGTCAGTCAATTTTATTTTTATACTGTACTATAACAATGACAAGAAAAAATACTGGAAAATGTGTAGTACATGCAACATCATTTCTTTAAACAAAACAAAAGTGCTAAAAACTGTCTGATCAGTCACTTTTTGTTTATACTACACTACTAAACTGAAAAAAAAGAGACAAATAAGAAGTCAGTACAACATGAAACGTTTAAAAATCAAATCTCAAATAACAAGTCACTCATTGTATTACGAACTACTTTATAAAATTCGATAAGAGCAGAGTGAAATGTGAGTCGGACATCAAACATCATTTGAAGGACAAACCAAAATCGTAAGAACTCAGTTTGATGAGTCACTTCTGATACTTTAAAATAAACAATGAAAATGAAAAAAGAAGAAACAAATGCTGAGAAATAAAAACAATTATAAAACTAAACTAAAAAGATAAAAACTAAGTCAGATCAGTCACTCCTTGTACAAACTATATTATGAAACAAGGAACGGAGTCAAAGGTGAGTAGGACATTAAACATTTTAAAATAAAACCTGACTAATGATTAACTTATTCTACTTAGTCACTTCAAGTATACATATACACCATTCTATATTATATACATGTAAAGAAACAAATAGTTAAAAGTGTCATACAAATCATTGAACAAAGGAAACTGAAATAAAAAGAACTGTCTGTTGAGTCCCTTCTGGTATTTAAACTATACCATGAATCTAAATAAGCTACACTACAAAAGTTAGAAAAGACAAAACAAATAGTAGTACATGAATCATCACTTAGAACCAATTTTCATAATGAGAACTTAACTTCATCAGTCACTTCCATCACATTAAAAGATGCAATGAGACTAAAAAGGAAGAAACGAATGCCAAGAAATGAGTAGTTCATAAAAAAATAGTTGTAAAACGAAACAAAAAGGATACCATATGAGTCTTATCTGTAACTTTGTGTCAACTATTTGAAAGAGAAAAAAAGGATCAGTGAGAAGTCAGTATGATGAGAAACATGATTTCAAAAACGAACCTCAAATAAATACTGAATCTGAACCGTCACTCCTGGTATTTTCAACTGCATCTTAAAACTGAGAAAAAAATTGTCAAGAGTGAGTACGACATGAAACATCATTTAAAATCAAACTCAAACAATAGGAACTCAGTCTTATAAGTCACTCTAGGTTTAAACTATACTATGAAAGTAAGAGAAAAGAAACATATTGCCAAGTGGGTAGTACATTGAAGATCGTTTTAAAACCCATTTCAAGTGATTAGAACTGAGTCTCATCAGTCACTTCAGGTATTTTAGACTATACTATAAAAATGAAGAAACAGTGACATGTCAGTACAACCAAGAGTAGATAATTTTTTTAGGGAGTGTCTAACTGCCCTATACTGCATGAAATTTGTGCGCGTACAGTTTTAGGTCATTCCCGTGTTCTTTACTTCTATTAACTCATTTACATCAGGTTACAGGTTTATTAAAGAAGAACTAGTCACGTGACCACATAAAATGGCGGCTTCAAGTAATGACTTGGTCCCTGACAACTTCTCTGACCTTATGCTGGACAATCTTTATAATGAAAGCACCAATATAACTACTTAAACAAGATGGTGCGATATAAAAGGCGGTGCCCTGGGCTTGGTGGCTTCCGTTTTTTTCACGTGTAAAAATGTCTGCTCTAGACTATGTTGCTTCTTCAAGGAAAAACGCAGGCAGAGAGTGGTTTTGGTACCAAATTGAGTTACATTTTACTCTCAAAGAAGACAAGGACCAGTTCTAGTTAGGCTAGATTGAGTTAAGGGGTCTTTAGGCACTAATAGAGGGCGCTGGAAATGCTGTCTCACTTGCTGATTTAGTCGGGAAAATGGGTCAATTAGAGGCTCTATCACATGATACTATAGTTGTTATCAATACTTCAGGTAGTTATGTGTTTGAAATTAGTGTTAATTAGTGTTAAAATAAGGTATTGGTGAAGGGGGACAAAGAGCAGCCATTCTGTGCATAAATATAGGATCGGCTATTGGGGCGCAAATGTTTGTGATAGTGTCGCATTTTATTATAATAATTATCAAAATTATATTTATTTATATTATTATTATTATTATTATTATTATTATAGTATAAGTCATGTGATTTGTGCTGAATTTCAGTTCAATGATAGTTGAGTCCTGTAATCGTAACTCAAGTTCATTATGTAGTAGATACAGAAGTAAGTATAATGTGAATGTAAAGTAATTATACATTAATTGGCATTAATATTTTTTAGGCTCGTACTAGCATATACTTGTGCTGGTATATTACCATCACAGTACTGCCATATTTTGATCGGTATTACTTGGTACAGTTGGGAAGATGTACACAATTACAGGAAGCTTCTCACCATCCCCATATCCATTCAACTCTGTCATTGTATATGCTTAATAATTTAGAAGAATATAATTTTTCTACCTGTGCTTGTGGGTTAACTCTCTCGCCTTTACTAATTTTAATGTTTTTATAATGCGTTTTGCTAGTGATTTAGCCATAATAAGAACAGTGCCAATGCGGGACCCATTTTGTTATTTTCAAATGTGGCTGCCATATTGTGCTCAGGGCACCTCCTTTTATACTGTGACAGGTGGAAGCAATTCTATGACATTGCGTGGATAGTTTTATAGTGCACCTTCTTCTTTAAGTCTGTCATAGGCATGTTTATCATGGAGGGAGATGCTTAATACAATCTCACAGATACATGTTTGATTATCCTCCAGCTGGGCTTCCAGAGTAAGAATTATTAAAAAGGTTCTTTTGTAGTGCAAGTATTGTTAAGAGAAGTAGAAACTGGTATTTTCACATTAAGTAATACTAAAGATGAGTTAAACATTCTTTGCAAAAAATATGATGCAATTTCCACGATATATAAATTTAGCCCTGGAATCCATCCTTGTGGAGTATCAAGAGAAGATGTCATACGTTTTGATCTAAAAAATGTTAGAAATACATTTGAACCCTTCTTAAAAGTATATTCAGTACATTATCAACTATGGTGGAGACTGGGTGAGACAGCATCCATGAGCCGGAGGAGGGAACAAGCCGTAATGTGTCATCCATGTGGGCGCCTGAGCTGTGACGTTTCACGTCAAATGAAGCGTAAAGCAGAGATGAGTCCTTTAAAGAAAGCAAAACGGCAAGAATCTTGTTCTAGAGCTCGATTGACGTACATGTCTCCTGAAAGTCAGGAGCAACGCAAAAACAATCAACAAAACGATAGAAGTATGACGAGGAGAAAGTTAAAGAAATACATGTTCAGTTAGATGAAGAGCAAAACAGTGAAATGGAATCTATTACTTCATTAATTGATCGTGACTATCAAAGAGAATTGGAAAAAATATATAATGAAGCTAAGGTTTAAGTATGGTTTTGTAAAGTATAGAATTGCTATTAGATGAGAAGCATGCTGTTGGACACAAGTTGAAGCCATTTGGCAGGCCGACAATCAAAATGACTGAAGCATCATCAATTGATTAATTGTAAGTTAATTTTCATTTACAAATTGCATTACAATAGCCTTGCAAATAATGTCATTTGCTTTTGCTATCATTATAAATAAAGGAACTGGAAGAAAAGGCAACAAGTGGAGTAATTTGACTATTAGAATGGGTAAATAAAATGGAGATGTGTTACTCAATATATTATCTACATTTTAGCTCTTGCTGCATATGTTTGAAGTCCTGCTGCATTTGACACATTAAAATCATTTAATCTTCTTCAGCTACCATTTCGATTTACCTTACAGGCCTATACTGGTGCTTTGCTACAGGAGTCTGGTGCTTCTAATATTTTGCATTTATGATCAAGTCGCTCAGTTTGTTTTGTATTGTGAGCAGAGAAAAAAGAAATATCTGGCAAGAAAGAGTGGACAAAAGATTGAGTACTTATTTTTGATGAAGTAATGTTTATAAGTCGCCTTATGTGGAACTCCCTTAGCCAGACCTTGATTGGATTATCTATGACTAACTCTAAAATGTCGTTATTAGATTTGTATCAAAAGCTCAATGCTGATCCTGTCACCCAAACTAAATATATACTACAATTTCTTTGGCGAGTCTTGACATCTGATAATGATATCATTGGACCGTGTTTTACTAGTTCTAAAACTATGGATAGCAAATTCATTATAGCTTGCATTTTGGACACCATTAAATTGTTTTATTGAAAAGGCTTGTTACTTCATTATTGCTATGTGATGGTGCTGCACCTAATCTTGAAACTCATGGACAGTTTAGTGTTTATCCGATCCTTAAAGGTAATTTTATGCTATATGTATGCTCTTATCTGTTTCATTCTGATTTTTGAAGAAAAAGATCCATTACCTGGTCACACCATTTATGAACACATTTGAACCACCTAACCCTATTTATTGGATGATTTGTCCAACACATCAAGAAAGTATCAATAAGTAACATGGCAATTAATGAACTTTTGTAGCTAAAGAATATGATCAATGCTCTCTTCTCTTTAAAAGAAGGTTATACAAAATCATTTAGTAATGGAAGAATACTTTTTGGTTGCAAAGCAATTACACTGATGAGAGGAAGTGTGATAGAGTCAGAAGTGGTTTAACAAGAATGGTACCCAAACTGAAGGAGACACGTTATTCGAGATTCATGGACAAAATTAAATCATACACCAGCCAAAATTATGAAGGATAACAATATTAAAATATGTAAATTTTGATTTTTCAAAAAAGCTGCTTTTATAGCAAGAGAAAGTTTAATCTGACCTATTTAAGTATGTTGACGAAAATCCAAAAGAAGCAAAAAGGGATGAAAGTATAAAAACGCTGGAATAGTTAGAGGCCAGTAGTAAAATGTTTTAGAATAGTTTCCTGAGTCATAATTATGTATTTAATATGGAATCAGAAGTAATAAAGTCAATTAATGATGGATTTTGTTTCATTACTGAAAGTAAGTGCTCAATGGTGTTTCATATAATAACTGGACAAAGACTACAATTATGGAAATGTTACAGAAAGAAAGTTTCTGGAATGGCAAAGTAATAAACGAAACCAATATTGTAATACCAAATTTAGCATTTGACTAATTGCAAAATGATGTGTACGGATTCCAGTCATTTTGAGACTGGTCCTAAAGAAGTATCCAGGATATTTGTTTCACCACATTGCATATCAGCTTCTGCTGTGGAGACTCTTATCAGTCAGTTTAAATATAGCTTGGGGGAAAAGTAGATGCAGCTAAATATCCTGTTGCACAAGCTGCTGGATTAATAAAGCAGGTTGTAGCAAATCATCACAGTGGCCAAGATTATAGAAATAATGTGACATCAGTACCACCTTTACCTTTTACCAAGACACTTAAAACTTATAATAAAAAGAAACGGGCATTAAATATAGCATTTAATAGTGCTGCTTTTAAAATTATATGTATAATAGTGACAATTCTGTACATTATATTAAGTTTTTGCGCATGTAGCCAAATTTGTGTGCTGAGCCAGAACTTTTCTCTTAGATTTTGGTCTGAGGTAGTACTAGCTGATCCTTTCTGAGAAGCCTTGTTCTGTTTCATAGCTGATAGGAACTCCTGACGCCTTGTATTGCATAGCTTCTGTACCACAATATCAAAACATTGCTTGATGCTTCTGTGGCTGACTCATTATAGTTGAGGCTATATTGTTTAACATTTGTAGAAACTGCTCATATAGGTGCATCTTTCTCGTTACTTATATATGTGCCACCTTAACAAGAAAAAGTAATATTACATAAAATGCAATTGATCTATTATACAATTTTATTACGAATTTTAAAAGTGCTTATGCTAGCTGATTGTGTTATTCCTGAAATCCTTTGTCATTCACAACTACCTTAATAGACTCATCAATTGATTGGAACAGTGTGATGAAAACTGGATCTGAACAAACATATAACCACGATCTCGATATTGTAGATATTTTGGCTGCCTAATTTCACCTTGGTATTAATGAGCTGCAATATCTGAATTTCCTGAAAAATTATCTTGTATTTTTTCTTAATGCATATTTTTATTTCCTGATAGCGACTATGTAGCATACTGGAAAGTGTGGCTGCGCCAAAACGGTCATACACATCATCTGAAAGTGATGTTTTAGGTAGAGTAGCTCCAGTACTTAGTGCATTGACCAATCTTTCTCAATTTTGTTGTATGCATCACAAAATCTTTTGCACTCTTGACAAATCAACTTCATTTGTTCAGATGGCTCAGAAATGACAATCAATGGCTGAACTCAAAGGTAGCAAAAATATACTACAATACCTGTGCCACTCAAGTTAAAAACATATATTTCTCTTTATCCTTGTCAATGTTATGGTATAGCTTATTAAATGTTGCATGATGAATCCCTGAAACAGCTAAGTATCTTCTACTAGAGACTTGACTATGGACTCATCAAGAGATAGCTGGTTTATCAACATACTTTCCGGACCTTGCTTTACCTCCATAAGGGGAAGCTTTATTATCTCGTACATTATAGCTTTCCTTTCCTTCGTGTTTAACATTTTCCTTCCATTTGACTCTTCAATCTTCTTTTTCTCTGTGGCTTTTCAGCTGAAGAGCTGCAGTCTTGTATACCATCATTGTCTGGACTGTAAACAGTTTCTTCTTCCTCTTTCACAAAAAGCTCATTCATTTTGCATGTGGTGTAGGGCGGGGTTTTCATTATTAATAACACACCCACAAATGCTATCTTCAATCTAGTTCTGGATCCATAATGTTAGAATTGCTAGCGCAATTTTGCTTCAAGAAGCATTTGTTACATAGGTGAGAGTAAACTTTACACGCACATATTTCATGCAGTATAGTGCAGTTAGACACTCTTCCTGAAATATTTTCTACTCATGGTACAACACGAAACAATTGAAGAAAATAACATTAAATTACAAGAACTCAAACAGATCAGTCCCTTCTGATATTTTAAACTACACCATGAAAAGAGGAAAGAAATGGTACGAAATGAAAAATTTTAAAAACTAACTGAAATGATAAGAACTAGGTGTCAAAAGTCACTCCAGGTATAAACTATGAGAAGAAAAAACAAATAGTGAGATCTCAAATTAAGATAACACATATCAGAATCAACGTCAAATTAAAGGAACTGTCTGATCAGTCACTTGTATTTTAAACTATACTATAAAATGAAGAAAAGAAACAAATAGTAAGAATGTTGACAAACAAAATGTTGTTATCAGTCCCTTCTGATATTTTAAACTACACCATGAAAAGAGGAAAGAAATGGTACGAAATGAAAAATTTTAAAAACTAACTGAAATGATAAGAACTAGGTGTCAAAAGTCACTCCAGGTATAAACTATGAGAAGAAAAAACAAATAGTGAGATCTCAAATTAAGATAACACATATCAGAATCAACGTCAAATTAAAGGAACTGTCTGATCAGTCACTTGTATTTTAAACTATACTATAAAATGAAGAAAAGAAACAAATAGTAAGAATGTTGACAAACAAAATGTTGTTTTAGGTTCCGACCTAAAATGATATGAACTCAGGGTGATTAATTAGTCACTTCTGTAATTTTAAAATATACTATTTAACTGAGGAGAGAAGAAATAATTACTGAGAAATAAGTTGTTCTTGACAAATCATCTTTCCAAGAAACTTTTATGATAATAACTGTCTTATCAGACACAACTGGCATTGACTATGCTGTGAAACTAAGAGAAGAAAACACAAATAGTGGGAAGTCAGTGAAACATGAAACATTATTTATAATGAAACAAAAAGATAAAAACTCAACTGATCCTTTACATCTGGTATTAAAATTGCTGTTATAAAACTAAGGGGAAAGAAATAGTGAGAAATAAATATTACAAAAAACACTATCACCAATTTAAAATGAATGTCACTCAGTGTAATGAGTCACTTCTGGTGTTGTAAACTACTATACTGTGAAATTAAGGAAAGAAGAAATAAATTATCAGAATTTAGAACAACAAAAAATTATTTGAATGCAATAAGCACTTAATCTGATGAGTCATTCCTTGTAAGTATAAGCTATAAAACCGAAAAAAGAAGAAACAAATAGTCAATAGTGAGTAGGACATAAAACATAGTTTAAAAGCAAAACTTAAATATTTAGAAAAACTAAGTCTGACCAGTCACTCCTGTTATACTGTTAAATAGAAATAGCACATGAACCATCACTTAAAAACCAATTTCAAATAAAAAGAACTTAATTTTATGTATTACTTCTGTATTCTAAACGATACTATGAAACTCATAAAGAAAGAGACAAATAGTGAGAAATGAGTAGTTTATAATTCTAAAACCAAACAAAAGTGTAAAAGATGTAGAATCAGTCTCTCATTGGCTAAACTATACCATCAAACTGAGAAAAGAAGAAAAAAGTAGTGGTAAGACATGAAACATCATTAGGAACACCAACCTCAAATAACAAATAATTCAATCTGATCAGTCACTCCAAGAAATTTACACTATAATGTAAAATAGGTATAAGAAAGAAATAGTCAAAAGTGATTAGGACATAGTGGTGTCATTACACTATTGCAGCAATTCACTGCTTGCCATTCTCTTTAAACTTTTGAAATGTGGGTATGTTTAAAAACATTCTGATGCAAATTTTATTTTTTGCATGAAGAAAAGTAGAAAAAATTCATTGGAACAAGCGAAGGCATTATTTAAGCAATTTTGCAGCCTATGATGTAAGAGCTATGTTGTCTTAGTTGGCTACTTGCATGTGACTAAGCCTGAGTTCCATCCATATTAAACAGCACTTGCTCTATAGTCTTGTGTCTTATCTCTCTGAATTTTTATAAGTTGAGAAAGCAGTTTCTTTGCTTAGCCTATTTGAGGAGAAAAAGCACTCGGTAAGTTTTGACTGTATTGCTACCGTGCAAATATTGATTACTTTTATTCACAGACTTGAAATTTTCTACATTATGTGTATCAAAGCAATGGGGTTATTATTCTGGAACATGCATGGTGTGACTCTTGTTTTCATGTCAGTTATTTTTGTCGTAGTTTCAATAACATCTAACTCATGTGAAGTAACAGTATTAATTTATGGTTAGCCAAAATAATGTATCACATTGTGGTTTTAAATTGGCATTACTCAGACTTTAATCTATTACTGTTAGTGCACTGATCACAATTAATTAGATTTTGCAGCATGAAATCGGAGCATATTCTTTCTGCGACTGTTTCTTTGTGATTCTATTCGCCATTACGTCTTCGGTGGTAAACTAGTGACATGTTAGCTCATAAATCATAATACAGTTCATGCTGCATATAATATATAGACGATCCAATAACAACTATATACAGTGCAGTTTGATTTGATGGTGGTCGTTAGAAGAATGATGCACATGATTCTCAATATATTAAATTTTAGTATGGTGGCATCAATTTCACTCTGTAACTGTATAATTTGTGCAATGAATACGATCCAGTTTATTAGTCACATTAGTAGAAATAAGACTAGGCCAGAAAGGCTTGAGTTTAAGTGCTTCACCTAAAGCCTGTGATTCTGTGAATGGTGATGTGTCAAAAGGCTGCAGAAGAATATAACATACCTTTCTAAATATCAGTGAAAAGTTGAGTTTGGTGCTAAAAGTGGGGCAAAATCATTTTTAACAGAAACAAACAGGAGAAGCTTGTTTTCTTTCTCAATGGAATGCAACTGTTTATTCACGGACGATAGACAATTTATGAATTGGTTTAAGCTATTGTCACCAACAGGTCGTAATGTAACAGTGTCCTTAAGTATGTCACAATCTCTTAAACCTCATCCAGAAACAGTATTTTAAACACCCAAATCCCTAAGTCACGTCCCACTTCCCTATTGCTGTGCTGAAACGTTATTTTGCTCTCCTTGAAACAATTGTAACAGAAGCAGAACTCCCAAATTGCCCTTGTCAAATTTTTAATGCATAACTCTTGGTGTTGCTAAGCCCCAAAGCCCCAAAGTAATAGCCAAAAAATATAAGCATGCAGCAGCACTTTTAAGTAGAAATAAAAGTCAAAAAACTGTTATGCTGTTGCAGTGTAGATGGATACTCTATACCCACTTTTGTTGTACTTAACAGAAAAGTGCTAAAACATGAGTTAACAACAGAAGTACCTGGTACTTTTTATCACCTAAATGACAGTGGGTGAAAGATAAAGATAACTGAGCTTTTTTAAACTTAGTTTTTGCACCTGCAGTTAGCCCCTCACACTAACTCATGAATAGTTATTCCAGTCACGTCTCTCCAGTTTGTGTAAATACAGCTGCTAAAGAGCAAGTTCTAGTTTATTGCCCCCAATCATAGCTCACGTAGAACTTAGCTTGTAGACAAAGGGATATTAAGTCCTTTAAAAAAGGCATGGAGGGAAGTAAGTCATGACCATACTTTAAGTTATCCTGATAAGGTTGTCACTCGCTTCAATTCTCGAGTTTGTGTGGGCAAGCATGGGCACAAGCTATGACAACCCAGATTGTTGTCTGGATTTAAGGTCACAGGTTTGTATCCTGTTGATAGATCTAGTTTGGCCAAATACTCCTCCAAAGCTTGCAACTCTGTGATCATAAGTTTATTCCATTACTTACTCCTTTTCGTAACAGGACCCTTTGCATATCTGTTGTCACATTTCCAGTAACCTCTGTATCTCAATCTGACGGATCCTTATCAGATGTTTTGAGACTTCCTTCTTGCAAATGCTATCTACAAAAATGTGAGTACTTCACATTCTGAGCAATTTTCAGAAGTAAAAGTAATGTTATGAAGCAAAAGGAAGGTTACGACAATACAACTGTTTAAAGAACAGATAGCTTAACCTCAGCCATCGTCAGCTATGCTCTCTGAAGTAATCTCATGTCTCTCACAAGTAACTATAAACCCCACTTCGGTACGAATATCAAAAGCTTGAGTAATTACTAGTGAAGAATTTCATCAGAGACGAGGGGCGCATATTCTCCGACGACCACACCCACCTACATTCATGCAACTTCTTGTAAAGTTCAATTACCGAAAATAAATCTCAATGTATTTCATGGAGATATAACTCAGTAGATTCCATTTTGGGAGTCCTATTGTTCTAATATCTATGATAACACTCAGATGAAGATATTTAACAATTAATGTGTCTCAAGTTGCTAGTAGAGAAGACAGCAAAGGAAGCAATAGCTAGATTGCCTTGATCCACAACCAATTTTCAGCAAGCTATTGAGCATTAAGAAGCAGGTTTTGCAACAAGAAATGATTGCAAACTGACTGATAGATTTATTAGTAGCATTGAAAGAATTGTGTTGAGATTAGAAGTAGGGAATGATTAGAAAACTTTACGACAAGGTTAAATCACATAAAAGAAGCCTTGAAGCACTTGGGATGAAAGCTCACACCTATTGAGGGTTGATACGTCCTTAATGAATACAGAAGTTACCCCCACAGATGAAGATAATATAAGCAGAAATCTGTCATCAGCACAGACAAGGTCATGCAAGTAATTCTGGATGAAATTGAAGCAAGTGATAACGGACCTAAATGGATGCGATGAGCAGTGAGGAAAGAAAAGAGAGACCCACACCAGAGCAACACTCTATAGTGACAGTAACAACTGTTGCTGCTACTGTAAAGCACAGGGCCACAACCCAGAATTTGTCGCAGAGTAAATTCAGCAGAAAAGCGAAAATGGAGAGAGGGGAGTGTTTGAGAAAGGGGAATTTTAGTAGTAAGTGTCGTAGCAGATGGAAATGTACGAAGTGCAGAGGAGCATCATACCAAAATATTCAATAAGGCCTACAGCCCAGGAAGGATAAAAAGCCTGTGAATCCTGGAGCCACAACTTTCGCATCGGAAAGAGCTACTATTATGTACACCAGTCCCATGAAACAACCAGTGTTGCTACAAACTGCAGAAGCAATAATACAAAATCCCTTGATTAATCAGCGATGGCATGCCAAAATTTTTTCCGATCTGGGGATCCAGAGGTCACATGCAACATCACAGTTTTTGAGGGAGTTAGAGCTCAGAGTGATAGGTGAGAAACAACTCAGCATGTTAACCCTTGAATCAAAGGAGAAGTCACAAAGGTGTGGACTAGTCAAAGCGAGCATCTTGACATAGGATCAGACAGACGTAGAAGTCACTGTGTTAGTGGTCCCACTAATATGTTAAACTCAAACAAAGCCTTTCATCCAAGACTGCCTCAGAAAATACCCCCACTGACAGAGGCCTCAGTTGGCTGACCAAGGTACACAGGAACAATTTTAGCCCAACATACTTATTGGATCGGACTGCTATTGGCAACTGATGACGGGAGGGATGGTGAAGAGTAAGCAACGTGCGAACTGCAGTGCACTCAAAATATGGATGACTTTTATCTGGGCCAACAAAAATAAGTAGCAGTTCAGAACAATTCTACACTGGTCACGCATGTCCTTCAAGTGACAACAGAATCATACTAAGCATTATGATGCCATCAAACAAGACCAATACAGAAGGGTAAAGGAGCCTAAACTTATAGCTTGGAACAGATTACACTATATTTATAGAATCTATTCTAAGCTAAACTAGCCTAAAAGAAGAGTCACAGACAGATCTTGTAGAGACGCTGATACTTCTGAAGCAAGAGAAGCCAGGCTTGCAGCATCTAGAGCTCGTAGGGATGCTGAGACTCCTGAAGAGAGAGAAGACTGACCGACAGAGCTCATAGAGACTCGGGCCTGTCAAGGAAGAGCTAGGCTCAATCCAGAAGAGCTAATGAGCGACCTGCTAATAGAGATCACCGTCTGGCAGCTGACAATATTAATTCAGAATTGCTAATTCAATGTTTGACTTGCAAAACAAATTGAACTTAAATATTTTTGTTTACTGAGTTGGAGCAGGCTCCAGCAGGAAGGATATACGATTTTAATCCCTCATTACCTCATAAACATCAAAGGGAATTATTCATGATATAGTTTAATCCAGTATCAGGTCGCTGTCGAGTACTGAAGGAACTGCATGAGACACATCCGGGCATCAGTAAAATGAAACATCACTCACGTTCAAATCAGTGGTGGCCTGGATTAGATGCAGATATTACTGATATTGTTCAAAAGTGTGAGACTTGTGAAGTAAATCGTCCTAATCCATTGAAAGCTCCGCTCCATCCCTGGGCATTTCCAGCTCGCCCATGGGCTGGAGTACACATAGATCACGCTGGACCATTTTGTGGTAAATTATTCCTAATCGTTATTGACGCCAACTCTAAATGGATGGATGTCCACATTGTACCATCTACTGCATCTGAAGTCACCATAGCCAAGTAAAGGGTTTTTTTTGCCACTTTTGGTTTACCAGAGCAAGTAGTCTCAGATAACGCTTCAGGTTTCACAAGTACGGAATTTAAACAATTTGTATCAGAAAATGGTATTCGGCAAGTCCTAGTTTCACCTTATCATCAGTCTTCCAATGGATTGGCCGAACAAGCAGTAGCGATTTTAAAGAATATAGTGAAGAAATTTGAAAGTCCCTTGGAGGTGAGGATCAGTAAATTCTTCTTCAAATACAGGGTCTCTCCCCAGACAACCACTGGTATCTCCCCAGCTGATCTCATAATGGGGAGGAGATTGAGGACTCATTTGGATTTACTGCATCCAAACACAGCTAACAGGGTAGCAGATAAAGTTAAAAGGGGTGTCTCTGATAAATCTGCAAGGAAATTCTTAACTGGAGATAAATTATATGCAAAAGAATTTTCCAGAAGCAATTGGGTACCAGTAGAATTAGTTGAAGTAACTGGACCTTTATCCTATCATGTAAGGACTCGTGAAGGGCTAGTGTTAAGGAGACATGTTGATCACCTACGTAAGAGGAATCCTGATTCTACTGAGGATGAAGGAATTATGCAAGATGGGTTTTCAAGCTCTAATGTAGACAATCACTCTAATTCCACACCACTCAATCATTCTCCACCAGTTACTGGGGAACCCCCATCTCAACCACTCACCAATCAACCAGTCCGTCGTTGGACTTGAACTCAACCTCCATTTGAACGTCATTCCCCCTACCGTTACAATTAGAAGGAGGGGAGTGTGGTAACTTGATATTGTGTTTACAATGTACATGCATACACTTTAATGTACATGCAGTTAATTATGTTATTATTTTTTTAATGTAAATGTAATTATAGTTGTGGTTTTACATGTGCTCCCCCTTCTAGAACAATCCGTGGTTATACATATATATTTCTTAGTGTGTGCATGCTCTTGGTCTTTCTACTAATTACTCTCCCGTGTGTTTCTCTCTCTCCTCTCTTCACTCTCCTTTTTAGCGATAATCCAATTATGACACCTCAGCCAAGCAGCATGAATCATCCCTGAATGAATGTCTGCATACAGGTCCAAAGTTACATCAGAAGATAGGGGACATACTTTTAGCCTTTTCTAGTCATGAAGTAGCTATGTAAGGCCTATTCACACAGGCCAAAGTAATACGCATTGATGTGCATTAATCATGTTCACACTAAAGTGGTTTCAAATTGATGCGCATCAATGTGCATCACTGTCACTTCACCTCCAGAGGCGGATTAATGTGAAGTGATATGCTTCGATGAATGTAAACCAATGGCAACAAGAACACAAAGTCATACATAATTCAGCTGCTAGTGTGAACATGATCAATGTGCACTGTTGCAGCTGTATCATCAAAGGGCTTTGAAAACAGTGCCAGCCTATAGAAAAGGCATTCTTGAACATATCTGTGATATCACAACGCAGAGATGTGCTTTGGTTCCTTTGGGTTGCAGACATAGCCAGTTGCCGATCTGGGGGTGGGCAAAGCAGGGCATTTGCCCTACCATCAGAAGGGCTTACTAATTATCTTTATTGCAACATAATTATATTCATTGTTTAGATAACAATATTCACTGTCTCATTGTATTATACATTCAGTGAAACCTCAATCCATGCCAATATTTACCTAGCTGTGGCAAATAACCACAAGTACAAGAAAGTTCCCCAGAAACTTACTTGTTAATACTGAAGATTAATAACTAAACTAATTGTTGTCATTTCACACATGATACAACACAAATCACAAAACTTACAACCTGTCACATTTGTAGCACTCACAAAATCAAAAATCCCTAAACCACAAGTCTTTTTTACATGTCCGAATATTACGACAATAGTCCACCATCAAATCATCCATAAAAAATACAGATATCTCCATTTGAATAGAACAATGTTGTATCCCAATCTGGACCAGTTCGCTGGACTTTTTGTGCATAACACTTAATGTGTGATGACGGACTCCAATAAATTCTGTCATATTAGGGCAATTTACACCAATACCGAATGCAATCTTTGCAATAGCAACACAAAACACTCCTTTTGGTCAACTGAAACTAGTCAGAATTTTATTCGTGATAGATGAGTTAGAGGCAATTGCATATCAACAAGTCTAAATTTGCCCACATTTCAATAGCCTATAGAGTCAGTCAAATGCTTTGTAAGTGCATTCTAGAAGTAATTGTCATTTGTATAGCTGTGACTGAAAATTGTCACTTCATCCATTGTAGTTCTCTTCTTTTTGACTTTTTTAACCAGAGGCCTCATACCAACATCTAAGAGCTCATCACTCTTTCTCAATAGAAAAGAAAACTTCCTTTGGAATATAGCTAATATGCATGGTCTCTTCATATGTAGGATTTTGATGATTTTACTTCGTGTTGTAGATAAAACAGTGGCTGTAAAAGCTATTACTTGGACTTGACATTAGAAAAAGCCATAAAGTTCACCAAATTGGCTATATTTTTTGCGAAACTGCTAGCCCCGACATATTGATACAAATATAAGTGTAGGTGACCCACCACTTTTTGACACAATGTGATTTATATACAATGATACCCACAAGTCTTTCTTGAAATTTAGAACTCTGAAAGACACTACTCCAGTGCTTCAAGCAAAGTAATAATTCAGATGTCGTAAAAATCACCCTTAACACAACACAGTTATCATCCACATGATCAATCACAATAGCAACAGTGCTCAGTCACTTCCATTCAAGTAAAGCAACCTCGTCCTTTATCAATGCAATTAGTTGGCTTACCGTCACTACCATAGATCAAGGAGGACTTCTTGCTTCTGCTATGTCACGAATTATTCGTATACTGCATTAGATTACAAATTTTTTAAACCATAGGCAGACAAACAAAAACATTGAGACCTTCAAGTACAAACTGTAGAAAGGTTTCTTTTGCTTTACTTTGAGTTTGTGATGCCCCAGTCTATCCACGTAGCCTGTTTCACAGGATGCTCTCCTTTAAAAATTATGTTACATTAATAATCACATTACAGCCTATTGATAGTTAACACGCCAGGTGCACAGAGTAATCTGATTGGTGTGCATATATTCCAGCGCAAAAACTAAGAAAAGCTTCATGTTAGTGTTATGTAAAAGGTGGTGCCGTGGGAATGGTGGCTTCTGTTTGTTACACATGCAATAATGTCTGCTTCAGATGGTTATGGTACTTTAATGAAATGACCAAGATGAGAGAGTTGTTTCGTATCAGCTGGAGCTAAATTTTGCAAAAAAGGAAGACGAAGATCATTTATAACTAGTCTAGATCGAGTTTTGGGGTCTTCAGCTACAAATATACGACCTTATTGACAACATAGAACTGCTGTGTACCTTGATCAATCTAGCTGAAATGAAAGGTTTGGAGGTTCATTGACATGATTCAAGTACTTCTTTCGCTACGCTGAATACCTAAGGTAGTTACAAAATGTTGAAATCCGTGACGATATTTTATAAGGTATATACACTGGTGATAGGGTAAAAATCAGCCATTGTGTGTGAAGTATCTGCTTTTGAGGATTTGGTTTTGGGACTGATACGTTAGTGCACCCTTACAGACAAATATCTAAGGGTATTATTTGAAATTTATTTTTATTGTTATTATTGTAGTTCAGTCACCTGATTTGTCATGAATTTTATTGTCGATCATGCAATTGGAAGAAATGTTGGGCTGGCTCGATTTTGTTATGCAGTAGATACTTGATTAATTAGAAGTATAAAGTGCATGGGCCGATCTTGGGTGCAAATGATGGTTGGGCATTAATCAAATTCATGAGTACAAGTAGCTTATTAGTAGTTATTATAGTTAATAATCTTGAGTATCAATAAGTAGGCTTCCTGGGGAACGTCCAGTACTTGTGGTTATTTTCTCACAATAATTATAGGCATGGATTGAGGTTTCACTGAGTGTAAAGTACAATGAGACAGTATTTTAGATTGACATTATTATCTAAACAATGAGTATAACAATCCATTAATGGTCAGGCTTTTGGGGTTCTGCCTGTGGCATTGGGTGTGTCTTAGGGCAGTATCATTGGCCCTCTGCTGTTCATTATCTTCCTAAGTGATATGCCATCATTACTATCTTCTGCCACTGCTCTGATGTATGCTGATGATACCAAGTGTACACCATCTTTCTCTTCTATTGGTGATTCAGTGAAACTTCATTGTGACTTAGATTCGCTTACTCACTGGAGTCAATATTCTTTTTTAATCTAAGTAAAACTATCCTCCTACCGTTTACATTAATCCAGTTCACCTATCATCTTTGACTATTACCTAAATGATTCTGTGATTGGTAGTAGAGATAGCTGCAGGGATCTTGGAGTTATTGTATCCGAAGATCTGTCCTTGTTTTTGCACATAAATACTATTGTTGCTAAAGCCTCTAAGATGACATACTGTTCTCCAGTCTGGAGGCCACACTATAGAAGGGACATATTGCTTCTAGAGGGGGTACAACGTAAAGCCACTAAGTGGATTTCAAATGATTATTCCTCTGCCTATAAGACTAGACTTCACTCTTTACAAATGTTGCCATTGATGATGACTTACAAATTGTGTGAAATTAGATTCTTTTTGACATCCTTATCTAGTCCATCTATGGCATTCAATATCTGTAACTTTGTGTCCTTCTCATCCTCCTCAACTAGATCTAATGGTATTAAACTCAACCGTAGATTCTATAGATCAAAAAAAACTTGACACTTTTATTTCTCACGGCTCCAAAGATAGTGGAACGCTCTTCTAACTATGGCCCTGGTGTCTCTGTCATTAGGTCAGGCTAAAAACACTCTAAGACAATTTTTCTTTAATCACTTTTGAGTAAATTTTTCTTCTCTCTCCTGCTCCTTTCACTTTTTATGTCCATGTTGTAATTGTAATTCATTATCAGCCAAGTATTTTATCGATTTGTGTTTATCTCTCTCTACTTCTCTTAATAATGTTGCTATTTCTTTGTTTCTGTTCG